CACTTGAAATGAAGCTAGGCTATCACTGCAAGGCCACTCATTTCTAAGAAAAGTCGTATAACTCGTGACCCTGGCCTCCCAAGAGAATACTTCTGGAGAGTTGGGGCAGCCTCTCCTGGAGGAAATGGAAGACCCAAGGCAGAAAGCACAGGCTCTATTTATGTACTCTCTCATGCCAAGAATGCCATGGGCAGAGGTTTTATTTCATGTAGGTGTTTCTCTGGGTGACATTTATAGCCAAATATTTCACATCTCCCACAGGATGAAACTCAAGTCATGAACTGCAGGAGTGTCCTCATACCACAGAAAATCTCTGGTCATTGGAGGAGAGCCACCTGACAGAAATACATAGAAACAAATGCAGACACACTTGCACAAGTACAGGTGTAAGAGAGATAGTTAAACATGCAGAGAGTTAGACAGAGACATAGAGGGAGATGCACACATACACAGAGAGCAAAACACAGAAAGAGACAGAGAAAGCATGATCAAGAGAGAAAGAGAAGAAAAGAGAGACATCCAGTGAATCAGAAAATGAGACAGACATAGAAAGAATTTGAGATTTACATAGAGATAAACACAGATAGACAAGTGTGCTACAAGGACAGAGACAAGCAGACACAGTTATATTAATTCTAAATAGAAAAGCATATGGGTGGGGACTATGAATAGATAGATTGATAAAGAGAGATGCATATAGACAGACATAGAGAGACAGAGATACACACAGAGACACAGACTGACAGACATAGATGCAGCATGTTACTGAGAGAGAAACATAGAAGAAAGAACCATAGTAACACTAAAAAAGGGACACATAGCGAGAGAATAAGAGAGATAGGCAGAGAGATACAGATAGAGACTCAATTGAGGGACATACAGAGAGATTAGAGCAGAGATCCATTCTAAACTACTAAATGAATGCCTAGAAATTGTTTCCTGTAGGGAGAGGGGCTCACCTCCTGTGAGTGGGCAGTCTCCTACTCAACAGCAATCATGTTAAAAGTCAGTCAATATAAGCTGGATATTTTCTGTTTTTTTTAATTCTTTAATGACTACTCATATTTACATATTCATCCCCCAATTCCCTGGAACTCCCATGTTATATAATGTTGTAGCCAGACTTTCAGGAAGCCAGACTGGGAATGGCTGTGCTCATTCAATCCATAAACTTATTTTCCTTGTAGTCTAGGCTGAGAGATACTCTCCAAGATATGACAAACTTGAGAGAGATGACATGTACAGAGAATCTTGATCATCACGCTACAGAGGGAAACCCATCTAAAACCCCTCCCTTTATCGTTTCTGTGGAATATAGAATGCAATTCATGGTAAGGAGAAAAATCTCTCACATTAGGGATCAGAAGAATATGCATGGCAGTTCTGCGGTTGAACAGGACAGAACCTACCTGTGGATGAGGGAGTATATGACCTAATGACACTCAATCTAAGTGAGTGACAGGAGAAGGATTTAGGATATTCACTAACCACACTGATAGGTAGGTCTGAAATACTTTTTCTAGACAAGATATCTGAGAGGCAGGGAAAAGACCAACACGATAGATAGTTAATTTGAGTCTCATTGGCCCTGCTCACTGCTGATGCACTGATACAATCCCTGTGGGATCCACCCAACCCAGGGACTGCAGAGACCCCGGTACCAGTCCTGGCTCCATGCACCGGAGGAGCAGAAACATCAGAGTACTGGACATGTTTGCACCCACGGGAAGGAAACCTTGGTCCTGACACAACAGGAGAGGAATAGACTTCTACACTCAACAGAAAGAGGGATGGGAAGGAGAGAATATAAAAACACATTGAACAACAGAAACAAAAAAAAGAAACAATATGACAGCACCCGAGTCTAGGGACACTACACTAGCAAGAACTGATCATCACAACAGAGATGAAGCAGAAGATAATGACTATTAAAACAATATCATGAAAATGATAGAAGTCCTCAAAAAGATATTGGAAAATGCCTTAGAGAAATAGAAGAAAAAAAACAAACAAAAAACTACAAGAAACAATCAATTCCCTGAAAAAAAGCCGGGAAAAAAAATCAAACTCATGAAGGAAAGAGTTCAAGACATGAAAAATGAAGTAGAGACAATAAACAAAACAAAGGCTGAGGAAGTGCTGGAAATAGAAAAGCTGGGTATATGATCAGGAAGTACAGATGCAAGAATAATCACAGAATACAACTCATGGAAGAGAGAATCTCAGGCAATGAAGATATATTAAGAGAAATAGAATCATCGATCAAAGAACATGTTAAGGCAAGAATACCTAACACGAAATATACACGAAATTGGGGACACCGTGAAAAGGTCGAACTTAAAATTAATGGCTATAGAAGAAGGTGAAAAACGTAACTCAAGATGCAGAAAACATATTCAACAAAATCATACAAGAAAACTTTCTCCACCTAAAGAAAGACATGCAATGGAAGTAAAAGAAGCCTACAGAACACCAAATAGAGTGGCCCACAAAAAAGTTCCCTCACCACATAAAAATTCAAACCCCAAACACACAGATTATAGAAACAACATTCAAAGCAGCTAAGGAAAAACATCAAGTAATCTATAAAGGCAAACCTATTAGAATTACACCTGACTTTACCGAGGAAACACTAAAAGCCAGAAGGTCCTGGATAGATATTCTACCAATACTAAGAGACAATGGATGCCAACCCAGATTATTGCAGCCAGAAAAGTTTCCAATCAATACAGATCCAGAAAACAAGATAATGGATGAAAAATCCATATTTAAACAATACTTATCCACTAATCCAGGCCTAAAGAAAGGTGTGGAAGGAAGACTCCCACCCAAGAAAGTTAACTACAAGAAGAAAAACATAGGCAATAGATAATCCCACTTTACCAGCAGCCAAAGATTAATGAGGTGGAAATCCACACAAAATCCCACAACTAACCACAAATATAAAGCAAACAAGAATGAACAATCCATGGTCATTAATATTCCTCAATATTAATGGTCTTAAATTGCCTATAAAAAGACACAGGCTAGCAGGAAGCTCGTGGGACTGCAGTGGCCCTGAGGATTCTGTATAAAATTCCACAGTCGAGCAGAGCTGGATGGACTAAAGTGGGATTCTGCAAACAGAAAAGCCATGGAATCCAGAAACAGATTGTGAAATTTTTATTCACTTTATATTGCCTTTGGTTAACAGGGATGGACACACCCATAGACACAAGAGGAGGACTTCAATCCTCTGGGTCTCCAGTTACAGATGTTTGAGAAGTCACCCAGGGATGCAGAGAGCTGAACTCAAGAACTGAACCTCTGCAGGAGCAGCAATTGCTTTGGCCAAGTGAGGCAACCCTCCAGTGCCCATAAATTGAGTTTGGAGAAAAAAAAAAACTGGCATCTTTCTCTCTTCTCTGTCTCTCGTAAGCAAACATGTATGTCTGTTTCATCCTTTGCTCTAAATCCTTCCTCATAGCTCTGCTCAGTCCAGTCCAGACAGGTTCTTCCAAAGAATCCCTGTTGAGATGTGCTTTGGGCAAGCAACTGAATGGAGTCCCAGGATCCAACTCAATTGACAAAATGGAAAGCGGTCCAGCAACAGGATAAAGTATCCTGGAATCCAGTGATCCCCGTGATTCACCTCATTTCGAGGGGCATCAAAGTGCTGTGCCAACATGCTGTCTTTCCTCAGATATTCGATATCCTTCACGTGTCCCGTAGTTTTCAGGTGGTCTTGATACAAAGCTGGCAGCTGCTTATGGAATGCACCTGTAGTTCCCATCTGAGAGGATCCTATGATTACTTCAGGCATTTGGGAGGAGGCCCAAGTAATGAACTGTGAGTCGAGGCCAAGGAGCTGCATGCTTCAGCTAACAACTGCGGATGTAAGACCAACATTGTCTTCCAGCTTGAGGTCTCAGATACATCAGAAGCACGAGCTGTAATGAAATCCAGGGTCTTGGTTTTCAGCTGCCCTGCACTGTGGCGGTGAGCGAGGATGAGATTGTGGGCAGCATTCTCAACACAGAGGTCCATGTAGAGGACATCCTCGCACATGACCTTCAAACGCTCCAGGTCATACTTGTCAGCAGCTGCCAGCACAGCATCTGCCATGCTGTGGAGGTCTGGTGCCTTCCCGGTATAAATGAAGTCCATCATTGCCTTGAAGACTGGGGGCTCCAGATCCTGGATCTCCACGCGTTTTATTCTTTTCTCCTCCATGTCATGTTCAAACATGGCTCTGAAAACTGGAGAGCGAGCTGCTAAGATGGCCTTGTG